CCATTCTTGATCAATAAAGTACTTGGTTCCACGCCATCTATTCTATTTTTTAGTGTTAACATTTGGTGCCCACCGTGGGGTCGAGTTCTTTTTGATCTACAAATACCACATGGTGAATCTTGTCAATGAAAATTTGTTGTTGCCATACATGGATGCTTCAAGTTTTGGAAACAATGGAGAAACAAATGGTTTTTCTTCCTCTTGGATGAATTCGGGAAAGGTACCAAATTGAGCAATACCAAGAGATCCGCCGTTGGCATCACAAGTCAAGAGGTTTGAGCGAGATATGGTCGATACATGGCACAATTTGAAAGCAATAAAGCAAGATGCAACTTCTTTGATGGATGCTATAAATATTTTAACGTAGCACAAGTTCAAGACAGACATCTTAAAATCCTACATGCACAAATCTTAAAAGAAAACTACGATCCCAACTAAGTATATTTACTTTTTTAAATAATTTTCTAATTTCCAATCTTAATAATCATGCAAGTCACTGTGTTTCTACGAAAACTAACTTCTTCTTTTTTTTTGAGAAACTTTTAAGAGAAGGCCACATAGGCCAAAAAGCTTTGAGCATAGGAATTTAATTGCAGGATGCATAGGTCTAACAAGAGATATGAGACAAAAATGAACATGAGCAGAGGTTTAAAGGAGTAGTATACAAAACATGTTGATTGCATGAAACCTGTGATATTAGACTCAGAGAAACCTAAGAGTACAATAGATATCAGGGCTGATATAGATCTTGAGTTTATCACACATTTGGAGGAATGAGCACCTCCTCTTCATCAAGAAAAAATTCCAATGATGATGTTGGCAAAATCTAAACTAGAAGCTCTGTGAACAACATCATAGGTGTAAAGGCTTGCGTAAGATATGGAGGAAACAAGGCAAAGCTTGAAGGCAATCAAAAAGATGACAATGTCTTTCATGAACACAGCAAATACTACAACACAGTAGCTGAGGAGACAAAAAAGAATGCAAAGGATTTTGTCATCCAAAAACACAAGGCATTATCTTAGAGGAGAAAAGGATTTACTGTAAGGAAGTAGTGATTATGATGATGAAAGTTATGCACCTTCAAGATAGATAGAGCCAACTACCGATTCATATCTACAGCCATCTTTTATTTTCACTAAGTACAAAATCTAGGAAAGAGACATACTGACAAACAAACAAACGAAAGGAAAACTGTGCCTAAACTGAGAAGGTCTATAACTCTGTAAAGAAATTTTGGGAAACGGAGCTTTCAAGCCCAATCATCCCAATGGAACCTTAGTTCCAGGGACCTAAAATGTTGTGCGCCTTAAAAGCAAAGATTCATTACTAAAAACCACTTTTAAGTGGAACACAGCTTTAAGAATAAGATCTTTGTTGTACACATCTTTGCTCACTTTTATGCAACATATCACTTCAAGATCATTTTTAAGTGATTCAAAGCTTCAAACACCAAACATGGTGAAATATGAACATGCGAAACTATGGAGCTATTCTTAAAGCTCTAAAATTCGGATAAGGTTAGTTAACTCAAAATTTTGAGAAAAAACTAACTAGAATATGCTTGAGAAAACTAAAAGCTATGGGCAAGCTAGGGTGTATATAAATACCCGGGCAAAAGCTACATAAGTGAGGCTATATTAAAAGCTATGGGCAAGTTAAGGTGTATATAAGCACCTGGGCAAAAGCTATGCAAGCGAGGTTATACTAAAAGTTGCAGGCAAGCTAGGGTGTGCATAAATACCCAGGCAAAAGCTACACAAGCGAGGCTACGAAGGTTAATGCAATTCTTGAATATAGGAGAGACTTTGCAACATAAAACCATAGTAACCAATTAGGGTGTAAAGTTGTGTCCTGACCTATCTTTTATACAAAGAAAATGAAGGACATGGCATATACTAACTAATCGTTAAATTATGGATTCTCATTGACAAATGAGGATTCCTTCACCATAAGAAACTAAAAGCTGCGGGCAAGTTAGGGTATGCATAAATACCTGGGCAAAAGCTATGCAAGCAGGGCTACAAAGGTTAATGTAAATCTCAAAATATAAGAGATTTTTGACAACAAAAACCAGTAGCAACCGACTAGAGTGCAAAGTTATGGCCCAAACAAGGGATAGGGCAAATGCTAACTAGTCGTTGAAACACGGATCCTTCACCACAAGAAACTATAAAAGCTCATGGTATGGATAAAGAAGCAACACACAGCTTCTTGGAAAACATAAATCTTGATATAGTTTATGTGAAAGTCACAATGCCAAGTATGACCAAAACTCGAGTTAGAAATAGAGCATTTGTTTAGCAAGCAATTGTTTTTAAAACACAAGACCAATGCACTGCAACATAAGAACGTAGATATATATATATATATATATATAAAGAGATCCAAATATAAAACAAAAAAAAAATCCATAATAGATAGAAAACCATTAAAGGAGTACAATCCAACTGTTTTTCCAAAAATAAAAGTTCTTATATGCAGGTTCAACAAAAGGCCCAAATGACCAAATCTATCATCTCGTGAAGACAAAATCATAGGAACCCCATTAGAAAAAGAGAGGTCACAGGATTTCTTTGTACATGACGCAAAGCACCCTTCACCACGAGCCGATTGTCATTTCTATGAGGAAAATGAAAAATGTCAAAATACTCCAATTCAAAAGAAGAAAGGCTCACTTCCAAACCAACAGAGGCAAGAACAAGAAAAGAACCACCAATAGCAAAAAAAGAAACTATCATGGCCTTGGCAATAGCAGGAGAAATTTTTGAATCACCTTTGACAATGGGATCCACCCCTATCTCGGCAATATTCGGGGTAACCGGAGCTATAACAGCAGATTTTGAAGGATCCTTTCCATCAAAACAGAAAAAATGGTGAAGTAGAAGAAAGAAAGCAAGAACAATGGAAGAAAAGAAGGAAGAAAAATCGAAGAGGAAAAAAGAGGAAATCGAGAAAGAGGGAGTTGGAGAAACAAATTAGAAATAAAATAATATATATATATATATATAAGGTGAAAAAAGGAAGAAGAAAGGGACAAAACCAAGAAACAAAGGTACTGTAAATCACCAATACAAGCTTACAAATAAAAGGTGGACACGTGTCAAAAAGCCTGTAAGGGGAAATGACTACACTAGCAAAGAAATCTTGAAGAAAATACAACTAAATACAAATAAAGAAATTAGGATACATACATAGGATATGGAAGATTGACAGAAAGCATACCAAAAGCTATGAAAATAACAGAAAACCTATGTTGTACTCTTTTTTCCTTAAGCTAGATTTTTATCCCACAAGGTTTTTTACTAGTTAAGGTTTTTAACGAGGCAGCCATGGTCACAAAATCTTTGCCATAATAAGATGGAACCTCTTAAAGGCAAAGATATGAAAAGGCTATGTAAATTTTGGAAGTCAAGCTACTCAGCAAGTTTTTGTGACCCTCAAGCTTTGTTTGTTGTGGGGACAAATGTTATACCCTAAATTGAGTGTTATGAGAATTAGGACACGTGGAGACATCTTAAAAATAGGCATATCAAGATTAGGTAAGTTAAATCTCACTAGAATTAGAATACCCAAACACCAATCAAATAGAGTTGTATTCCTAAGATAACTTTATGTAAATATATTATAAATACCTCAAGAATAAACCTAGGAAGGCATATTATTTTCTCCACTTTTTCTCTATTGCAAGCTCTCTCCATTCTTGATCAATAAAGTACTTGGCTCCATGCCATCTATTCTATTTTTTAGTGTTAACAAGAACTAATAGAGAACCCCATTACTAGAGGAACAAAGCCATCCATGCGGCTAGGGTTTTGTTTTTCTTTTTCTCAAGAACAAAGATAATGGTAAGACTATAAGCTTTTTGGTTATGGTTTTTATAATTTTTGTAGCTAAAAACAAGAAACTTGTTTAGTCTTATTTATATTTTCAACATAATATTGTGATTGTTAGAAAAAAGAACATATGATAGTATTTCACATAAAAATACTGTTAATCTAGTTTATAGTTTAAGTTTTAGTGGTAAGATTTGTTTTGAAATAAACTATTAATTTTGAATTTTTAGTTTTGATTTTAAATAATTATAAAAATCTATCAAAATCAAAATTAAAAAATTAAAAATCATAATTGTAGAACTTGACAAATTAAATTTAGAGTTTTATATTTATGGATTGTAAAATAAAAATTACTAAACAGGGAGAACAACCTTAGAATGAGGTTGAATAAAACAATTGAGCACAAGTAGAAGGCTGCTATCTGCAGACAACCCAAAAGAAGCGGAACGATCAAAGCAAATAATTAACAAGAGTTAGGTATAGAAGAAAGTCAGAGCAACTACTGAAATATCCAACGAGGTAGAATACAAGCAAGAACAATTATAAACTCCACGGTATATTTCATTACCTATTTTCAAAATAAACTCCACGGTATATTCTCCACGACGAACAACAATTAAGCACGGGTACAACTGTACAACTATACGTACAAGGCTGCTATGACTATAAGCGTGATTATAATTATTTATTATTTAGTTTAATTAATATTTTATTAAAATTTTTAAATAATTAATTATAGATATAATTTTGGGTGATGTTTGATGTATTTTTTATTTAATATTATAAAATATATTTATTAAAAATTATTATTTTTTAATCTAAAATTAAAAGCAGAGATAAATTTAAAGATGTAGCTATGCATACAAAATGTAAAAACCGATTAAATCAATTGTACTTATAGTATTTTTTAATGGTTAAATTAGATAGGTGTAAAAAATGTGTCAAAGGGGAAGGTCTAGCCATCA